ACACACACACACACACACACACACACACACACACAATTGCCATTGGGTGCTGGAGAGCCAGAGGATTTGGTAGCTATTTAGTCCAAGAAGCTATAAGTTACAGAATAAGAAAGATCATAGATGCAGTTCCAATTTAAGACGGGAAGCCTAGATGCTTCCTGGAAAATCACTGGTGTGTTCAAAGGCTGCAGAAACTGGAATCTGATGTGCATAAGTAATGGCACGAGTAAAACATGCACTTGCTCAAGCAGAATAGAGCTTCTTCAAACTCAGGCCAACTTCTTCCACCTTCTCCTTTCATTCTACCCAGGCTGCAAGCCTACCAGATAGTACTACCCACAGCTGGGGTGGATGTTCCCTCGATTTGCAAACTTCTAAATAACTCATGAGATAAGAAATCAAAAGGAAAATTAGAAAATATTCTAAATGGAATAAAAATATAAAAAATAAAAATATCTATGGGAAGCAGTTAAAGATATGCAGAGGTTGAAGTTTTCAGGGTTAAATACTTATATTAAGAAAGCAAGCTTATACAGTCTTTACTTCTACTCTAAGAAATTAGCAAAAGAAAAACAAATTGAACCCCAAATAAAAAGGAAATAATAAAGAGTGAAAAATCATTAAAAGAGAAATAAAAAATAATGGAGGAAAATGGAAACCAGAATTAGTAGGCATCTAGAGCAAGACAGATAAAACAAAATAAAAGATGCAAATTTACAATACAAGAATGAGGGAAGGAGAAAACCAATAAGAATGTAGGAGGAGGAATAGTCAAAGGATAATATGAAAATAGTATAAAAAGGTTAAAAAGAAAATAGTATAAAAAGGTTTATGCCAGTAAATTTGACAATACATAAAAATGAACAGATTCCTATAAGATCCAAATATGCCAATCAAGAAAATACTGAGAGCCTCCAGTCCACATAGAATACTGATACACCTCTTAAGTAAATTAAATTTGAAATTTAAAATATTTCCAAAAGAAAACCACACGCCTTGACAGCTTCACTTGTGAGCGCTACTAGACATTCAAGGAAAAAATACCAACTTTACAAAGATTTTTCCAGTAAGTTGGGCTTTTCCAGAAAAATGAATAGGAAATTTATTTAATGAAGGCACTCTTACACTTATACCAAAACCAATCAACAAACAAAAAATTTACAACTACAGACCATAAGTATTTACAAGAAAACTACAGACTGAAAATTTGCAAGAAAAACAAAACAAGACCACAGTCTACAGATTAAAACTGTTCCTATGTGTAAATACATGCAAACAACTTTAAATTTTTACATATCTTTTGAAGTTTCATATGTCTAAGCAAATAGTCTGTCCATTTGTCCATCCATCCATCCACCTATCTTTAATCAACTGGGATTTATCATAGGAATATAAGATATTCTTAACATTTGAAAAGTCTACCAATGTAATTCATCATATTAACAGACTGACAAAAATACATATATATGTATAGTCATCTCAACAGATCAAGAAAACAGTATTTAACGAAATCTCATTCTGCTTCCTGATAAGATCTCTCAGGAAACTGTAGACAGTTTTCTTTAGCTCATGAATTAAAAATATTTTAAGGGATTAAATAAATTTTAAAAATAAAAAACAGTGAAGAACATGCAACAAGTGTGGGCGGGGAGCAAAAATGATTAAGATGTGACATGTATATGTACCAATTCCCTAAAACAAATGTAATTATATATTGCAAACACATACCAATAAAAATATAAAAAGTTAATACTCAGAACAATATTAT